TATTTCATTATTCTTGACATACCTGGTGGTTCTGTGTGATTTTCAGCCTATGCAATGACCAGAATGACCTGTTTAGATTTAACAGTGTCATGTGACCTGAAATCATTATCTGACCTTGGACATAGAAGCCAGACTCTATATGCTGGTTCTATACCAGTTCTATACCAGTCATCCTCTAATTCTCTAAATTATAGTGAACTTGAAATGCCCTAATATTTGGCTCTTATTTAATCAAGTAATGGTTGCCTGTAATGATATGGCGATTTCCCCCCTCTTTGGGAAGTTCTGATTCACGCTTTGGAAATGCCATGAGCATAAGAAGAAGAAAAAATCAACATAAAAAAACAGGGAGGGTCTGCCTCCATCCTGTCATTTTGTATTGCTGTTGTATTGCTGTTACTACTGTTACTTCAACCACTACTATAGGAAAAGCATGACTGAGCAACAGGCATGTCCTCCAGAGAGTGTTCAGTAGTCCCAGCCCAGTTTCTATACATAAACATTGTCAAATGATCACACTCAGAATGACTTCTTGGTAGGAAGGAAGTATAAAACAATTAAAAGAAGCAAGGATGTCTACACAGAACTACATTATTGGTAGGTCATCCTTATGATCTAGTGTTATTCTGCACGTTTCTCAGAGGTCTGTAGGGAGCCTATTCCTGAAATGCTTTCTCTTCTTATTCTTTTTGGCATTCCTCACCTGCTTTTTCTGACTGTAATTCAATCTGAAGGAGTTTATTTTTTTTTCTCTCAGCCTCCCATTGTTTTTATAAAATGTATATGTACTAGCCAAGGAGTGCAGATATTTTAACTTCCTTTGGAATAAATACTCCTTACTACAAACCATAATCCTTTATATATCTAATAGCCAAAGGCTAGCACAAGTGTGGATAGGGAAATCCACACAATAGGGACAGCCATAACAACACCAAGGGGTCCAATTCTATGAGCCCCAAAAGAAGGTGCCCCATCCTCCATTATTTCCAATGGAGGAAAGGCATTTAAAAGGAACACAGTCCCTTTAATTGTGATGGCCAGCTCACCTGGAACTCACTTCAGAGTTCAATTGCACTTCCTCCCACCCCTCTCCTGGAGCTTCCTACTAAGTCCCCTGCTGGTTTGTTGGCCTTACCTAGCAAGCAACCCTAGTGGAAACTGTCAAGCAAGCAGGCCAGAGAAGCTGGAGATGGGGGGGGGGAGGCAGAGGCCACAGCAAGAAGGAGGGAAAATGGGCTTTCTCTTCCCACATCTTTAATAATAGTAATAGTAATAATACACAAAGTGAGGGGATTAGTGTATTGTTTAACTAGTAAATTAGTGTATTGTTTAACAAGTAAAAAGTATTCCTGGTATTGGAATCATCTGAAATTCAAATTCAGCCATTTTCTCCTTTTAAAAAAACAATCCGAATTTGGAGACAGTCCCTATCTCAGCAAGCTCCTGTATGTATATTCTGTGCCCCTTCCTCACAATGGTCTATAAACAAAAGGCATTCCTAGCAATGTCATTGAAAGTTCTGAGTCAGGCTACTTGCCTCAGAAGCCTCCATCATCCTAAAGTTATTTTGATCCAATAGTGTTGATTGTTTTGTTTTTTACAATTTTTTCTGACCTGTGGCTTTTTCCCCCTAAAGGGAAGCGAATTCCAGAGCTTTGCTTCCCCTTCTGGAACATTTCTTGCCTAATACTTACATTGGACCATTTGTTTTTATTGATCAACCAAAAAACAATTTAAGAGCAATAATGGAAATGTTGGTCTAGTAAAGATACTATCAATTCACTCATCTATCCCTACAGCAGTTTATACCACATTCTAAAGATAAATGCCATATATGTGTGTCACCCTTCTCAAGTCTTAACATTGCACAATGATAAGTTGAATGAATAGTATAACACAAGCTAAATAGCTAAGAGGAACCAATGAAAGAAGTATGCTGCATTTATATTATTCTTTTTTTGTCTACTATAACCAGTGGATTTGAGAAAACCTGCAAAAGTTAGGGCTAAATCTTGATATTCTGTTATCAACTCTTTCTTCCAGTGGTACTTCATGACAGGTACTTGACAGAACTTCTGCAGTAAACATGAGTGGCTAGTGGCTAGTTTTTCTATATCATGAACTTTGTTTGTTTCTTTCCCAAGATTTGGTGAGAAGCTATTCTATGACCCCGCCCACACTCAGCATCACAGAAGAGGAATACGTGATCAACACTAAAGATACACTGAATATTACTTGCAGGTAAGAATCACATAAGAATGCTCTTCACTATTGCCAACTGTTATGTCAAAGCAAGGCATTCAATATAACACAAGGGCTGCGGTCACACGGAGCATTTGCCACGCTGACGATACGGATGGTAGGCGGATTTTCCGGGCATGATCACACCGCAACATCTGGGAAGCATAGAGCTCCTGTGGCTAACCCAAGGCTTCCCGCCGAAGAAGCTTAGTAAAAAACTAGTACCTCCGAGGTACTAGTTTCTGGAAGCCGCGGGGCAAGGGCGGGAATCTGATCATGTTTCCGGTGGACTTATGTGGAATCCGGTGCCCGCCGCTGCTCATCGCACACAAGGGGAGGGGGTTTCTCCCAAGTCTCCGCAGGTTGCACAACAGTGCCCAACAGCGCATGCGCACAAAGAGCGATTGCTAGGGCAATCGCGCGGCGCGGCTTCTGTGCCGCGCTGCAGGATACCTGCCTGGTCGGCATCTCCCCCCCTAACCACAGGACCTTGACCAAGACGTGTGCTCGGGTGGCTGTGCATTAGTTTCCTCCGGGGCAGTTAGCCACGCCTCCCCCCCGCGCGATATCTGGCCCGTGTGACCGGGGCCAAGGTTGGTCAAACATCACTGATAAATAAGGCTGCCAGCTCTGGGTTGGGAAATGCCTGCAGATTTTGGGGAGCCTGAGGAAGGTGGGGTTTGGGGAGGGGAGGGACTTCAATACGATATAATGCCATAAAGTCCACCTTCCAAAGTGGCCATTTTCTCCACGGGAATTGATCTGTGTTACCTGGAGATCAGTTGTAATAGCGAGAGATATCCAGCCACCACATGGAGGTTGGCCACCCTACTGAAAAAGAATGTGACTCAGCCGTTGCAATATCATGTCTTCTTTAACACCTACTGTAGAGACCTGCCTTGGGGAATGAGCAGAGTTCTTTCTAACCTAAACGCAATCTGCCTCCAAGAACCCAACCAAGGGTGTATAAAAACCTTATTAGCCACCACCATCTGGATTTTTAGATCTTGATCTCCAATATATACTTTTATCTGGTTAAAACTTCTTCTTAATAATCATCCAATGTAAGAAAATTACCCAGCAAGGAAAACAGCCAGCTACATTAGAAATATCTTGTTTGTTTGTTTTATATAGAACATTTATGTGTCACCATTCCATAAACACGTGCTCAAGGCAGCTCATGGGAAAATAGAACTTTAATATGGCAATTGTCATAAAAGCATGAAATAGCAAACTATTAAAAATAAAGATTAAAAATATTTTTAAAGGAAACCCAAAATCTGGGGAGATAGGAAGAACTTTGTAAGCATCACAGGATATTTAAGACAAATTGCTACAGGCATCCCCTGGACAACTTTACAGAGAGGGTGCAAAGAATCTATCTAGCTCCATCTTAAGAACCAAGGAGTAAAGAATATGACAGCACAGCTGCAAAAAGAAATATTCAAGAAACTGGTACTACCAACTATTGCTTTATATAACAGTAAGTACCAGACAGCCTAATGAATGGACATTCAGAAAGAGCTCTGAAGTATCGCAGTCTACAATTTGATAACGTGGGCTCTGCAATAGATACTGACAAACGACTACTACTACAGAGGAGAGGATTTGACTATATCCCCCTCCTAGGTAAAGATAGGAAGTAAGTGAATGTAATCAGGAGCTTGAAAGGCCAGGACAGGCCCTGCTCACAAAAATGCCTGGATGAATTCCTTTCTTGAGAACTGTCAGTGTTCCAAACTATCAGCAGCACCTCTGGAAGCAAGGAGTTTTTAATCTGGGAACTTCTGGGAATTGTATGGAAGGGGGTGGTGGTACCTTCCTCTCTTATTTATATCACCTTTCTCAAAAAGATAGGAAATAATTGCTTACATAAATACAGAGAAACATATCAAAATGCTTTCCACTTACATGTATTTGGTGTGCATATACAGCCAGTCTTCAGCCACAGATGGCAGTGATCATGCCTACTCCTTAACAGTTCAGGAAAAGGTGCTTGTGCTTCTGTTACATGAACAATGCATACAGTATGATAAGGGAAGTCTGAGGAATGTGGTTTGAAATTGTTTAAAAATAAATGTAAGAGTGGCAGAGATGATGAAACAACATTCTGGAAAAATCTAGCATACTCTTCAAATTTGCAGTGCTAGTATTAGAGAAGGAGACAGGAACAGAATGTTTAGACCAAAAACTTACCACAGGCCCCAGTCACACAGGCTGGATATCGCGGGGGGGAGGCGTGGCTAATTGCCCCAGAGGAAACTAATGTGTGGCTGCCCGAGCCCACGTCCCGGTCAAGGTCCCGTGGTTCGGGGGAAATGCCGATCAGACGGGTATCCTGCAGCGCGGCACAGAAGCCACGCTGCGCGATCGCACTAGCAATAGCTCTTTGTGTGCATGCGCTGTTGGGCACTATTGCGCAACCTGCGAAGACTAACAGCGCCGGGCGCCGGATGCCACATAAGTCCACCGGGAATGCGATCAGACGCCCGCCCTTGGCCCGCGGTTTCAGGAAACTAGTACCTCGTAGGTACTAGTTTTTAAATCCGCACCTTCGGCGGGGAGCCACGGGTTCGCCATGGGAGCACTGCGCTTCCCAGATGTTAGGGTGAGATCGCGCCCGGAAAATCCACGGGACTCCCGTGCCTCTCCCGCGGCAACTTTGCCATGTGACCGGGGCCACAGTGACTCAAATAAGCAACCCATCTAATCTAGCTTCTGTTGTTTCTTTTTTGTTCCTGTAAAGAGGTCAGCATCCCCTGGAGTGGTCGTGGCCTGGAGGCCAAGAGGACACTGTCCAGATTGGAAAGGACAGCGAATCAGTGGTGTTGGTGAGTCTCGACGGCGTCCGAACAGTCAAGGAAGAGGATTGTGAGGGCACTGACACAAAGCCCTACTGCAAGGTCTTGACACTGACAGGGACTCAGGCTAACGACACAGGCTACTACCGCTGTCACTACAAGTACATCAATGCCAAAATCGAGGGCACCACTGCAGTCAGCACCTATGTGTTTGTGAGAGGTAAGAGGGTAAAAGTCCTGCATGGCCAAAAACAGATTAGAGTCCGAGTGGAAGAGCCCATTGGCCAGTCTCTATTATACCTGTTTAAATTTTACTGACACTCTGTATCACACAGCAGGCTGATATTACAAAGGAAACAACTATTTGATGTTTAATCCAATATAAAGAGAAGGACGGCACCCTGTCTTTTGAAAGGGAAACACTAATCCAGGCAGAACAATGTAAAAATATGTTTTTTTGCCAGGTTATCTCTATCATGACCTGTTGCACCCTCTGCACTGCCGTCTCAGCTCTCGTTGTTGCTGCCGGATTTCTGCACCATGCTATTAAACACTTTTTGTGTTATCTAGGTCGATTGGAAGAATTTTAAACATACATTAGCTGGCTACCTTTGCACTTCAGGTAGATGTGCCGTGTTAGACAACGTAGGCAGCCATAGGCAACATATTATGTTAGGCAACATAGGCACCTGCTCAGTCCTGGTAAAGAGATGATAATTCAGGATCTCACTACTGACACAAGCCGAAAATATTTATTGCTAGTTTTAAACGCAGGAATAGCGGATATTTTGTCGATATATTTATTTACTGCTTTTCCTTAAAAAAACAACACAACTCTAAGTAGTTTACAACATATTTTTAAAGCCTCATAAAGCACCCCAGTTCCAGAACATAGTGTAAGCTCATTGTGCCCAGCCAGTCCATTGAAACTGAAGACCTACCTGTTGTCAATTAAAAGCTATAGAGAGCAAAAAAGTTTTAACCTGGCAACACAAATTACACAGGGATGTTGGTTGGTTGGTTGGTTGGTTGGTTGGTTGGTTGGTTGGTTGGTTGGTTGGTTGGTTGGTTGGTATCTCTGGGGAACTTGTCTGTCCACTTCCCAAGACCTGTTCAGGAACTCTGCCAGGCATTCTGACCACAAGTTTTCAGACAAGCAGTAAGGAAATTGGGCACTGCCAGCATCACTGGACTGAAGACAACAAAGAACTTGTAACAATGAGGGAGAAATCTGAAAAGGCTGCCCTGCCCAGCCATTTAGGGTTTCTCCCAGCAGCACTTGGCCATAGCTAAGTTTATCCTTCATGCTCTCTGAGCATTTTCCTGTAAATAAGCTGGCTCCCTTCTCAACTACAAAAGCCTGATTAAATCTAAGGAAGCTGAGGAAAGAGTTGTGAGCATAAAGTTTTTGTCTTACTGAGAGAGAGAGAGAAATCAGTATTCATCCTCTTGTTTGGGGTAGCTGAAGATCTGTTCTGTCTGGGGGGATTCAATTACATTGGTGCCTGGGGTGAATGTTTCTGAGGGACTGGAATGCAGGAATTTTCAGTTATATGGCACGCTAGAAGCAGAACACTGGCTTTATTTTTTGAAGAACTTAAATCTATTTGCATTTTGGGTTGTAGGGGAACAGGTTGGAAAGTGCTTTCAGTAAAACTGAAGAAGAGTAGGGTGCAAAACAGCAAGTATACTGCTAGAATGAGACAGTGCGGAGGCAGAGGCTGTTTTCTCCACAGCCATATACTGCTTTGTGTCTGCAACTGAATCGTAATTTGTGATATCTTTGTATCTTCCAACCTCATTTGTTTTACTAATTTGTTATACCAGTTAGCTAAGGCTTCATGCATGCTACTTTAAAAGGCTTTACCTACCCAATCAGCTTGTCATCATGGTCAGCTAAACAGAATTGTCATTTCAAATAGACTGTGCTAAGGCAAAATCAAAGTCTGTCAAATACGCAACTCAATATGCATGTGCTTTTAAACAATTTATTAAGCTCTTTGTCATCATATCATCAGATCTCCTCCTTCTAAGCAGTTTTTGTGAGGTGAGAATACTTCATGTTTGGATTTTTAAAAGTACAGCAACAGGACTGTGAAAACAAAAAGGAGTATTGAATCAGTTTAAAGATTAACAGATCTACTGTGGTCAGAGGTTCCGTGGACTAGAACTCTCTTCATTAGATGCATGAAGGGATTCCTCAGTTGGCAGATATATAGAGAAGAGAAGAAGAAGAGATTGGATTTATACCCCGCCTTTCACTACCCAAAGGAGTCTCAGAGCGGCTTACAAACTCCTTTCCCTTCCCCTCCCCACAACAGACACCCTGTGAGGTAGGTGGGGCTGAGAGAGCTCTTTCGAGAACTGCTCCTGAGAGAACAGCTCTGACAGAACTATGGCTTGCCCAAGGACATCCAGCAAGTGTAAGTGGAGGAGTGGGGAATCAAACTCGGTTCTCCCAGATTAGAGTCCGCGCACTTAACCACTACACCAAACTGGCCATATATAACAGATATATATGGGATGCAGGGGAAATTAACATTGCAGTTAAATGGGAATTAAATGCAAGAAGTTCATATTTTGACATATAGAATTGTGAAAATATTCCCTGAAGCATGCATTCAATTGATCTTTATAAAAAATTCTGCCATTCTGTCATACTTTATACAATCCATTTAGTTGATCAAAAGTAGTTAAATAGAAGTGATCTAATCTAACATAAGTGACCTTATGTTAGTGAGCTCCAAAGTGTGATGTGATGACTCTACAACACACAGAGGCCTGTTCATATAGGCGTCTGGTGTATGATGGCCAAATGAAAGGCATGTGTGCGTTTGTGGCACCCCTGCCTGTGGTGAGGTGATCATGTACCCCCACTTGCATCATGTGTTGGCCATCCTATCCATCTTCCAAAAATGTATCTATTTGAAAACACCAATCAGTTTTTTGCACTAACCAGTGAGATAAACATGGATAAACAGTGCTGGAAAAGATGGCAACGAGAGGAAAGCTGTGCAAGGCAGCTCAGGATGTTTGAATCCCATTCTTGACTTGGCCATTTTTTTTTTCTGTCTCACCTAGGCTGATTTCGCATTAGAGCTGCCTCGATGTTACCCCGCCGTTTGCCCCGATACTATTGGTCAATTTCACACCCGAAGCTGTGGGGCTGCATTTTGACTCGCGGTTTCACCCGATTTCCCCCGCATTTTCGTGATCCTGTTTTTTGAGAATCACGAAACTGCAGAGGAAATTGGGTGAAGCCGCGGGTCAAATGCAGCCCCGCAGCTTCGGGTGTGAAATTGACCAATAGTATCGGGGCAAACAGCGGCGCAACATCGAGGCAGCTCTAGTGCGAAATCAGCCACAATCTCCTTTAAAGCCTTTGCTCTCGGATGATGTCAGATTACCACAAGAAGAAATTTCAAGAATCACTTGAAAGTTTACTTGCAATATATTAATCCAAGAAACTCCTTAGTTCTCAATTCTGTAGTAGTAGGAGTTTAGAAAAAGCACTTTGCCTGTGGTGTCCAAAGGGGGCTTATGCAAGCTTCTGAAGGAGACACATCTTCCCTGCATGGATTCTCCTTTGAACATTACAGGTGCAGAAATGGAAGACAGTTGCACATTTGATTGTGACTCAGGTAATATCTCAAGCTGGTCTGAAAGGCTAACGACACAAGCACGCGCAACAGAGTCTCAATACAGTTTTTCTTTTATGAAATGGGGTGGGGTTTACAGGAAAGAAGCAGGGAGATGAAGATGCTTAATACTTGGGCTGCCACTTATCTACTCCAAATCAACCCCTCTCCCCAGAGGCTTTTCTACTCCTGGACTTTTAAAGGCAAATTTGTTTGTGCAAATATGCATTTAGAATTCCATAGGCAGAAAGCAATGGGGGGAGGGGCGGGAAGTGGAGCAGAGAAATAGCAGGTGGGGAAAGATTTAAGTACCCCTACTTCTTTCAGAAATCCCCCCTATGGTGTAACTGTGCATAGGATTCACAACCATTTGCTGCATTCATGTTGGCCCACTTACTTTGTCAGCATGTCTGTGATGATCCACACTGTAGGGTGAATCCAGATTGGCCACTTCCACATATTAACCCTTACTGCTGTAGGACACCCCCCCCCCATGTCATCTCAAGAGTGGCATTTCATGGAAATCAGTGGGATATAGTGGGAGAAATAGGCAGGAAAATTTAGTCTAGACCCAACCCTCTGTTTTTTATTGCACAGCACAGCAGTATCCAGAAGAAAGGACTAACCTTTCCTACAGTGGGTTGGGAGCCAAATCCACTTGGCTGCCTGTTATCCTGATCAGGGCAACCAAACATGGTTAGCAACAGTAGCTCCTGGGGAATGTGGATGTATAAGAAATAATTGCATAACTCATCTGATTTCTTTGTGCAGGTGTTACTAGAAAGCTGTGGGATTTAGGCTGTGGTCACACACACTAAATAATCCACTTCCAATCCACCTTCAATGCACTTTCGAATTGGATTTTGCCAGTTCACACAGTAAAAATCCAATTGCATTGAAAGTGTATTGAAAATGGATTATTTAGTGTGTGTGACTGTAGCCTCAGGCCCACATCTCCCATATTATTCCAGGAATTAGTTAATTAGGATTCAGGTATATGAAAATCTGTGAGTCAAGGTGATGCATGTACAAAAAAGGGTTTTGTAGCATAGTTTTGTAATTTTGAGAACTTGGTCCTACTTTGTCAAATTCTCGTGCATCTTTCTGTTCCATACTGGCCCACTCCACTGGTGTAAATTCAGAACACACTGGCCTGTTGTCCCGCTCCGGGGGTCGCGGACCCCGATGACGACAGCCTACAGACCCCGGAAGCCCGACAAGCCTGGGAGGGACGCCGCGACCCGGCTTACCAGCAGGAGTGCGTCTCAAAGAACCGGAGCAGACCAGTTGTCCGACGGGAGAGAGAGGAGGCGCGGGATCGTGCAAGGCGCCCAGCCCCGGCCGAGCTAAAAAACGAGACCGGGGCTCAATGAGACGGCCGGGGGAGCAGGA